GAACTCAAGGTCTCATGCATGCAAGGCAAGCACTCTACCACTGAGCCACCTTCCCAGCCCCATATTTCTTTAAACTTCCGACTCCTTCCCCCGCACACACACTCCTCTGGCGCACTTACTGTGTGCATGACGGCACTGTGGCTGGTATGTAGGGTCTTCAGGGCTACATTCTTTTCTACTTTCTTTCTATTCCACAGGCCATATCATCTCAGTCAACACATTATGATGTTGTTCACTGATTCTTATGCCTGTTCACTCAATCACCTGAACTCCTCTAGTTTTTCTTTTTTAGATTAGATTGTTTTTGTTTCTTTTGTCTTTTACATATATTAACTCCAGAATTTGCTCCATTTTTAAAACGTTTGTCTTTTTTATCCATAGCTATTTCATGAAACTGTTCTCATGTGTTCCTTTTCTTTTGCATAGTACTAGGGTGTTGGTGCAGGGTTTTGCCCATTCTAGGTAAGCCCAGCACTGTGGATCTCCATCCCCGCCCTGCTGGCCATCTCAGTAGTTTGTTACTTGTTGCCACCCATAGTGTCTCAGGCAGCCCGGGTGATGAAGCAAGCAGCTGCTCGCGTGGCAGGCTGCAAATCAAGGCACAACAGCATTGCAGGAGGGTGCTTCCAGGAGGCCACGCTGTGCCTTCTCCATGATGGCCGGGCGCGGTGCTTTCCAAAGCTGTCGCTGCAGGGTAGGGGCAGACTAAATGGAGCGAGGAAAATGTCACAAAGCTCACCACAAAAACCACCTGTTTCTCTTGTCTAAGTGCTGCTCAGATTATAGCAAGCATCTCGCTCACTTCAAGGTTTAAGAGCCAAGGCTAATTCCTTCTATTTTGTTTTCTTTTGTTAATGGTACTGGAGTTTGAATTCAAGCTAATTGGGCAGGTGCCCCTCCCACATTTCCAACCCTGTTTCTTTCTGGTGGTCTTTTTGGTGATACTGACGTTTAAACTAGTCCAGCATTTGACTGGCTAATTGCAGATGGAGCCTCACACTTCTCTGCTTGGGCTGGCTTCAAACCAAGAGCTTCTGGGTGTCAGCCTCCTGAATAGCTAGGATGACAGCAGTGAGCCATTGGTGCTCAGCCAGCCCAGCTTTTGGCTGGTTATTTTGGAGATGGAATCACTTTTCCAGTGCTGGCTGGCTGGCTTTGAACCATATTATTTATTTTTGAGATAAGGTCTGACTTTTGCCTAGGCTACCATCTGCCTATATTTAGGCTTCCTGTCATAGTTAAGATAAACAGCCAGCGCTCACCGTTGTGTCCAGTTCTTGGTTGAGAAGTCTCAGTAACTTTCTGTTTGGGATGACCTAGAAGCATAGTGCTCCCCATTTCTGCCTCCCAGATAGCTAGCATTACATGTGGCCCTCAGTGCCCAGCTCTGACATACATTTTTCCCCCTGGGTCCTGGAGCTTAAATTTTGGGTCTGGGCTGCTGTCCCTGAGCTGCTTTTTACTCAAGGCTAGTGCTTTACCACCTGAGCCACAGCTCCACTTCTAGCTTTTTTGCTACTTTATTAGCGATAAGAGTCTTACAGATTTTCCTGCCAGTGCTGGCTTCAAACCATGATCCTCAGATCTCACCCTCTGGGTTTTTTTGTTTTTGTTTTTAACCAGAACTTGAAGTTACAGCCTCCTCTTGGTCTCTTTTGGCTTTTTCACATACAGCTGGCATGTCCTCTTGAGCCATACCTCCAGTTCTAGCTTTTTTGCTGGTTAATGGGAGATAAGAGCCTTATACATTGTGTGTTCAGGCTGGCTTCAAACCACCATCATCAAACTTCAGCCTCCTGAGTTCACAGGCATGAGTAGTAACTGGCACTCAGTCAATATTCTCAGTTTTTCATTAGCCAAAGGATCGTGTTTCTTTTTCCTTAGAAAACCAAGGAACTGCCAGTGGCTCATACTTGTAATCCTAGCTACTCTGGAGGCTAAGATCTAAGGATTGTAGTTCAAAGCCAGCCCAGGGAAGGAAAGTCCATGAGACTCTTCTCTCCAATTAACCACCAGAAAACCAGAAGTGGCACTGTGGCTCAAGTGGTAGAACACTCGCCTTGAGCTGAAGAGCTCGGGGACAGTGTCCAGGCCCAGAGTTCAAGCCCCACGACCAAAAAGAAAGAAAACAAAAAGAAAAATCAAGGAACTAATTTAAGAATATTTAAGGAAAGGTAGGAAGTAGTTGAGGTAGGAGGGAAGGGATGGTAGGGGAAAAATAAAGGAGGAGGCAACAATGCTTGATAAGAAATGTACTCATTACCTTGCTCATTTAACTGTAACCCCTCTGTACAGTATTTTCACAATAAAAAACTTAATTAAAAAAAAGAATATTTCAGTTTTAAAGGAATCTTTCAAAGTGCATTTGTCTTTTGATAAAGGCAGTGGAGGATGACTTCGTGGAAATGCGGAAGAACGACCCTCAGAGCATCACCGCGGACGACCTCCACCAGCTGCTCGTGGTAGCACGGTAAGTCCTGCGTGTTTGGAATGGCTGGTTTGAGAAACTGCATCATATTTCATTTATTTATGTGTCAAACACTGAAGCAGACTTCTAAAAACCAAAAGGATTTTTCTTTAAAAAGCAGTTTCTGAAAGGGCGCATTGAGGAGTTGTTGAGTTCGGCTGATGCCCTTGTCAGCAGAACGGACATCCTGCCTGTCCCTGAGCCTCAGCGAGCTGCTCTCCACTTGAAATTCGGAGGGACTCCTGAAGAAATCTTAACTTAGCTTTGAAATGTTGGAGCTACCAGATGTTCTTGTTTCCCAGTCTGACCTGTTTTCACAGTGTCCCTGGGTCTTCGGTGTTTGAAGGCACTAGCCTGGCTCTATACTTAAATTTGTTTGTTTCAAACCAGGTTTCTGTCCCTCAGTGCTGGTCAGACAACACTGTCAAGAGAGCGGTGGCTCAGAGCAAAGCAGCTGGAGTCTTTAAGAAGAAACAGGCTGCAGCAGCAGAAGTGTGTGAATGGGAATGAACTGTGAAGTCCTGAGTGGCGTCGTTTATACCACGTTGTTTTATAGACAATTTGTATAAAAACAATTGACTTTTCCTGAAATCAAGCCTGGTAACACCTGATGTTTATATGATACTCAGTAAGGGCTTTTTCCTTACTGATTTTATGGAGCTTTTGAAGTTTGTTTTATAACTATACAAATTAGTAATGATGTACAAAATTGTATTTGATATTAAAGGTTTAATGTTGATTAAGGTTGCTGGCTATAGCATTTCCTTAACTGCAGCTAAGTCCCACAGGCCAGACTGTTGATATGCCAGTACAACTTCATTTAAACAGAACTGTTGCCATTTCAAAGTTGGAGAAATTGTGCACTTCATAATCCTAGTTCATATTTCTTTCCAGTAATTCTCAGTGGGCCTGAGCATGTGCAGTAGTCTTAAGTATGGCAAGTGAAGTGCGCTTACCATTGATTCACCTGTGAATCCTTCAGTATTTCCTCAAATACTTGGCCACAGAAACTTTTTTCCACTTAACTGCGGTTAACACGCCTGGAAAACTAGCCTTTTACACGGAAGTGGCTCCTGCACTTTGATTTTACAGGTAATACTTCCAGAAATTCTTAGGATTACCCATTAATTTTTTCCAGGTGATCTGAAAGAAATAACTGTTATTACTGTTTTTTTTCTTCATAAAAGGATAAGATTCCTTTGTGTGGAATAAATGAAGCTATCATTTTCCTCATGCCTTCAGCACATTTGGGGACGTTTGTTTATGAGGCGGAAGGGAACGCTCGCTCATCCATGGCAGCTTGCCCAAATATGAAAAGACCAAACAGTAAACTAAATACAAAGTTTCTTTTGGGGTTCTGGGGACTGAAGCCAGGTCTTCTTGAACATGCTAGGCAAGTGCTACATTCCCAGCCTAGGAAAAAAGATTTTTAATTATTTTCTTCACAAATGTTATTTACTTGGCTTTGATGATTATATTGGACTTAAAACTTTCTAGGAGTTTATCAGTTCCAAATGTGTTAGAACAGTTAACATCTGCTACTCCAGTAAATTCTAAAACAAGTGCTTTTTCCCCAGACAAATTTGTTTCAATACACAAATTTTTACGTGAATAAAAAGTACCATTACTTATAGGAAAGAAAGCAAACTAATACAGTAATATAATTGTGGCAGCAGAATGTTCAGGAAGATGAGAAGGTGACTTTTTAAAATTTCTTTTAGTAACTCTCACAGCTGGAAACATTAAATGATTCCTTATTGTGTTTTTCCTATAAGGAAGGCATTGACATTGTTAACACCAAGGAAACAGGGTCAGCCTTGAAAAATCAAGGAATCATGCTTAATGAAGGGAAGTAAAAATACTAGTTCACCATTCTTTTCCTAAATTCAAAGCTATTTTTATAAACTAATGTAAATAATGTTTATATTAGGATTTAACTTTTTCATTTTTATTACTGGTAGACAACCCATCCTTACACTTTTAGAAATATAAAATGCTAAACTGGATTTGTGAGAATAAGATGTATTTCCTTTGTTCTAAAACAGGTAATTAGTTACCATGCGTCTAACTGTGCCAATGTAAATTGTAATGTACCAAAGAAATCATAATTTTGCTTGGTCTTTCTTACAGAAAAGTTCCGTTGAACCCTCTTTCCTGTAAATAAAACTTCCCAAGTTACCAGTACTGTGGGCTGTTTTTCCTGAATTACAAGGTGCAGCCTCCTATGTGATCCTCTATGTTGGAAAGCTCTGTCTGTATTCTGTTGGAAAACTGTTACCAGGCATGGGCAGGGGCACAGGACAATGCTAAGATTGACAGCAAGATGTCAGTCCTGCTGAATAAACATTTGTAGATCCCTGCTTGGAAATAAGCATTGCCTTAAAACAACTTTAACTTTGAAAAACCTTTGTAACTCATGTCCATGGAACATAAACACGCATAGTTCTTGCTGACTTTGGCTTCTATTTTTGTGTGTGTGTTGTGGAACCCAGCCTATTTCCAACACCCAGATGAAAAGTTGATCAGAACAGAATAAAGCATTCAGTTTTTAATGTTTGGGATTCAGAATTTGGTTTGTGATTCATTTCATTAACACTTCAAAGGGTTAAGGTAACTGGAAAAGCTCAGAATAAGTGTTCTGTTATGACACACTGACCATTTCTGAACTTTTACATAAAATCAAACCTTTATAAATGTTATACAAGGAAATTTGCATGCCCATTGTTGCTTTAATTACAATGGTCTTTATTTTAAGTCACAAGATTAGACACTTCAAAAAATGAAACCACAAATAAATAACAAAAGTGGAATGCTTATCAAAGTTACAACAGACATAATGTTCAGCTGAGAATCACCGCACAGAGTAAGGCTCTAAGACACCAGAGAAACCAATGCCTGCTGGAATGTGGCGTGCGACTCTTATTGTAGTTCTAGAGGAGGCGGCATTGGTGTGGTCAGTTAACATCAGAAAAACCAGTTTTAGCAGTTGTGCTTTAGACTAAATTTTCAATAGTTGTGTTAGTCTGCACAAAATGTTGAAGAATACCCCCTGGGAAAAAAGTTGAAACTTGAAGACTTCCTTCTAGAACTCCCAGGAGCCAATATATATATATTCTTATGTTCCTGAAAGCAGAGCAAAATGAAGATTAACAGCTGCTGCAGTTCACATATAATGTGCCTGTTTCGCTGTATGACTGGCAAGTCAGTGCTCCTGGATTTAGGGGTGGCAGAATATACTGTTCGAGTAGAGTATGAGGAAAATTAGGATCAAATGAGAATACATTTGACTGTAGTGTTAATCCTCAATAAACTTTCAGATGCTTCTACATTACCAGCAACAAACATTTATAAGTCACTAAAAACTAAATGTATCTCTAGGGAAATGGACACATAGAAAAATGCTAACCTCATGAGTGGGCTCAGACCCAGATGGTATCTATTTCACTGACTAACCATCGATACCCTCCCAAATCCCCCCTCAGGTTCCGTCCAAGTGACCTGTACCTGAAATCCTTCAGCAGACCCAACTAATCCGCAGTGGATAAGCTAGTCAGGTGTACCCAATTAGGAGGATGGCCTTACAGAGGAATCTGGAAGTCTGCTCAGATTCAGACTCCTCTTAAACACTAATAAGCATAATTAAAATTTGTGAATCCTAGATCCAGATAGTACAAGCTAAATTAGCTTAATACATGAAATGAAACACGTCCTAAATTCACAAATAAAAACCATGGGATTGTTTTTGGTAGCTAAAACCTAAATCTGAATTATTCGTGTCTGGCATTGTGTAAACATGTTTTTAAGTTCATTCTGCTGGATTTCATTAACCATCTCCGGTTCTGCAGGACTCTTCTGAACTTTTGCCACTGCCAAGTTGATCCCATGGGTTAGGCCAGCCTGAGTAATACTGGCAACCTGCACCATAGAGCTTCGAATTTTTGCAAAGGGAGAGACTGCTCTGCTGCTACTGCTCTCTGAAGGAGAAGGAGTTACATGAAGCCCTGCCTCGAGTTCCAGCATGCTGGAACTGGAGCTGGGTGTCTTTTGAGCTACAACTGCATGCACTGGTTCAACTGACAAAAACTGTGTGCCAGTCCCAGAAAAAGACACATCTAATTGCGATGGTCGGGAAGGGGTCTGTTCTGTTGATTCTGGTTGGGATTCTTCTTTAGAAACTTGGTTGGTCATCTGGTTTCCTTCCTCTCTAGCTCGCTGAGACACAGAGCTGCTCTCTGACAGCTCCATCATTTTGTTTTGTGCGTCTTGCACAAATCTGTGGCAGTAAATATCCATAGGTTTCGCAAAACCAGCCAAGAGGCGTATGTTGTCAGCAGAGGGACTTTTCTTCAAAGGAGACTCCTGGCCTTTCCCAAGTGCACCTTCATGATCACAAGGAATCTCTGTGGGAGCATGAATGCTCACATCAGTGCTGCCAATAGACTGGGACCGACCGCCCAATCGAGGTGCCGAAGCAATAATACCACAACTAGGAAGAACATAGTCTATCGGCCCTACACTCTCTAAAGAATTAGCGAGCTGCCTGTCTTCATCAGACTTGGAATTTGTAAGGAATTCATCAGAATGGTAGGAGTCATTATCTGAAGAAATGTCCCCATCAGATTCTGCCTGGACCTTATTTTCCATCACCCCTGAGCTTTCCATAGTCTCAAGACTACTATCTGATTTCCAAAGATTGACTTTTAAGTTTGGTTTTAGAAAGTTCACTTTCATTTCAGGCTTAGTAAAGTTTCCTAACTTTCGTAGGTTGCCAATATTTACATTGGATTTAGTCTGCTTTACTTTTTGATTTAGAGATGAAAATTTGCTCAGTAAAAATTTTTTCCCCTGGGCCAGAGAGCCTTGGTTCTGAGATCTGATACCCATGATGTCTTCATGAGGTTTACTGCTCTTCCTACAAATCAGAAAGAGAAAAGGTTAATTTCCCAGAGAACCCAAAAGACCCATTCCAATTTCTAAGTAAAAATGTTTTGCTGATTTAAACTGGTCCCAGTTTCTTTGGAACACTCCCATAGGATTGACACTGAAATACCACTGCCAGAAAGAAACACACAAGATACATATTGTTACATTAAAAAGAAAACTAGTTTTTAGTACCATTTTACTTAATCCAATATATATAAAACATTATCCCTCCAACATATAAACCAGCAGTAAACATTTTGTTATCTCTAAAATTTGTTAAATCTAAGATGGCTGACGTGTGGTATGGCACACCATACTGAGACTGGTTGCGTCGCCATGGCTTCGGAGCCCCTGTGCTGAGTGGTTACCACACTGGGTAGTGCAGGAGTAACACAGTCACGGTGCGGGGATGGAACTATGAGCAAATAACATTGTAGTGACATCCACCATGACAGCAATAAAGGGTAAAAGTCTACATGTTACTTGCTACGAATGTCTGTGTATCTCTGCCCAATTTCCTTGGTGATACAAGCTCACTAACCAGGAAAAAAAAAAAAAAACAGGTTAGAGAACTACTACATTCTCTCCATTAATAGAAGATGGAATTATTTTCCTCTAGGGGATCAAATAGCCCTCCCCACTCTGGAATGAGGATGGGGGAGCCTGGTCAAGGCTCGCTAGGAGGAAAAAACTACAAACTTTAGACACAAAAATATGTTGATAGCCACTCTTACCAAATTCAAAAAACTTTACTATCTTCTCTATACAGTGCTTTCAGTTTCACCTGTGGCCACACAAGTTGTATTTGGATGGCAAAACGGCTGCTGGGGTTTCTCTGACATCTTTGAGCTGAATTAAGTCATGATTCTTCTCAAAATACCACTTCGCTAAGCATTTGTTCAGACAGTCAGTATTACTATGTACATTTAACTTTTCTTTTGGTCAGTCATAGGGCTTGAACCTGAATGCTGTCCCTAAATTCTTTTGCTCAAGGCTATTGCTCTACCACTTTGAGCCACAGTGCCACTTCCAGTTTTTTGGTGGTTAACTGGAGATAAGAGTCTCAGAAACTGTTCTGTCCAGGCTGGCTTTGAACTATGATCCTCATATCTCAGCCTCCCAAGTAGCTAGGAAGCACCCAGCCAAATTTTTTATTTTATTTTTACTATCTTCAACAAATCAGTTTATATGTCTATATGTACAATGCATCTTGACCAATGTCAGTATCACCCCTTGCGTCATTCTCCCCAATCCCATCCCCTCAAGTTACCTGGCACCACCCAGTAGTGGTATTAAGATTGGGTTAGTCTATAGAGAAGGTATATGGGAACACTCTGAGCTATTTATATAACCCTCTGTAAGTCTAAAAATTACAGATATAGAGTTCAACCTGAAAGGTATTACTTTTGACTCAGAAATCCAGTACTCACCTCTGTCAATAATAGATTCTCCGCACTTCCTCCTTACAAATACTTTTTTTCTGCGGGGGGGGGGGGGAGAAGGGGGTCGTCTCTGGGCACTCTCTCTGAGCTTTTCCAAGTTTTGAGCCACAGCTCCACTTCCAGTTAATTAGAGATATGACTCTCACAGACTTTCCTACCTGGAATGGCACTGAACCACCATCCTCCGATCTGAGCCTTCTTAGTAGCTAGAATTACAGGTGTGAGCCACCAGTAGCCAGCAATTTGCAAGGACTTTTAAAGCACTAAAACTTTAAGGCTGGCCTGATGCTCAGTGGCAGCACATTTACCTGTATGAGGCCTGAGTCTGATCATCAGCACCCAAAGGTTAGAAGAAGTGTTATCCTACCTCTCAAGTTTCTTCTCAGTTATCGGTACATCTAGTCCCATGGCTTGCTTGGTGATCTGTAGCATCTCTGCAATGCACTGAAGGGTATCTGAAATGCAAATATAACTGCTTCCAAATTTCTCCATAAACATATTCAAAACAGCATTTTAATTCACATAAGAGAACTCTGTGGTCATTTAAATACAAGTTTTAATGTACAGAAAAGTACTACTTTGTCCACTACCAATTCTAAATGTTCTAAATCAAATTTTAACAGAAATGAATTAACTAGGATTAGGAGCTTATAGCTCCGTTTGTCCAAGCATTGTGCTGGAGGGCAACAGCTGAGAATGTAACGGGCAAGGTCCTTGACTCCTGCTTCTAAGACGGCAAAGCCCCGGAACCCAAATGACTTCATACAGAGCCAAACACGTTAAGAAGTACCCATGTCCTCGCCTCAAACTAAATAAGCCATTTCAATAGGTTCTTTGGATTTCTGAAAACAGTGCTCTATCAAGGTCTGAAATCACAATACCATTCCCCAGACCAATTCTCATTCTGCTGGCCATTATACAGAACACTCCCATCCCATCAAGACTTCCAAGAGTAGATAGTAAGCTATCACAGAATTCTTTCTTTCACCTTTTCCATCTTCTTCTGGATTGCGCATCACTGCCCTCAGTGTGTGGAAATAACCACTTGCTCCTTTATATCTGTAGTGCAGTCGCATGCAGGAGAACTTCGGCTTACCAAAAAGAGTGGGTTCAGGACCTAAAAACCCAAATGAATATATGCGTAGTTATATCTTTCACATCCATTTCTTCTTTCACTTCAAAATGGCTGACAAATACCCATCAATTAGCTTTGTGCCATATTATTCTTCATAATCTATAAACAGCCTGCAAAATGCAAGCTTGTAGTGACTATCAGACTGAATGCAGCTATCTTCTTTAGTCTTATTGAAACTTATTTGATCCCTCAGGTTATCTTCACAAAGCATGAAAATAAGACAAACACAGTTAGTACTATGAGACTACATCCATCACTAACCTCTAAAGAATAGAAAAGAAATCTAAAGACAGACTGCTTGGAATTTCATTTCTTTCTGGTTTCCAACAGATATTTTATTAGTTGCCTACACAATATGTCCTATAACTGGGAGCAAGAGCATTTGATTTGTGTAAAGCAGTCACTATGTTAAAACTTACCTATTTCTATTTTTTCCAGATCCTCTAGACTTAGTCGTTGATATTGATTTACTTTATCAACTTCATCATCATAACTTAAAGGGAGTAGAAACAGAGGATTAAAATCAGAAGCATATCTGGCTTCTCAGCTGAGGTATATATAATAGTAGCAAATTAACAGGTGTAGTTAACATCATCCCCAGTGCAATGTATTTAAAATAGTTAAAATTTCTATAAAATTAAAAACCGAAAACAAGCAAAACATGAACACATACACACACATATACTGAATCTTCTTATATGGGAATATATGTCAGATAAATCTGATGCTCAAAACTGGGAGTGACAATGACATGTGAGCTGTGCCAACAGGCATCTAGGGTGATAGCTAAAATATGATAAAGTCAGAAGTAATATTTACTTGGAAAATATGAGTTAAAACTCAATCCTGATAAAGCAGGAGTATACAAGTGCTCATATTTTGGTAATGGTATTGTTAACTGGTACTCCTTCTGGAGATGGAATTGACAAACCGAAGTCACATTATTGATGATATCACTGTAAGCACAACAAGCTGCTTATTTTTGCATACAGACATACATACACACAAGCTATGGTACACAGATCACAGAAACAGCAAAAAAAAAAGGTGGAGAAGCACCAAGGAAACAAATATGGCTACAGTAATACAAAGTGGTATGAACACTAATGATAAATATATATGTAATACAAAGGGGTAGTAATAATACAGATGGATACAGCCACTAATGATAAACATACATGTAACACCCCAAAGCTTGAAAGGTAACAATTTTTAGCTAAGAGAATCCAATGTTATATAAACATAAACACAATGAATTATTATTCTAAAAACTACCAAGCTGATAAAAGAGTAATTATATTAGGTTCCATAAGCTTTCATAATATATTAACAGAGTCTTAATTTTTTTAACTGCCATAAATTCTGAAAAGGAAATTTCCTTAAGTTTAAAAAACAGCTTTAAGTCAGTATGTAACTTACTAGGCCACGTAGTAGGCAGCGTTGGAAAGCAGTAAAAGCACATCCACGTCCCTGTGAGTGGCGTCAGTGAGGCTAAACAAACAAGACACAGGGATTAAATACTTTCAATCTCATCCACACTTTTTTTTTTTTGGGTCCGGTCGTGGGGCCTGAACTCTTGGGCCTGGGTGCTGTCCCTCAGCTCTTCAGCTCAAGACTAGTGCTCTACCACTTGAGCCACAGAGCCACTTCCGGTTTTTTTCTTTTTGCTTATGTGGTGCTGAGGAATTGAACCCAGGGTCTCAGGCATGCAAGGCAAGTGCTCTACCACTGCGCCATCTTCCCAGCTCCTCATCCACACTTTTGGTCAAGCACAGTCCTACAGCAGGGCCACTACGATTTTTTAAAAAATTGGCCAGGGGAACAAAAAAGAAAATTGAAGAATGAATACTAATTCTGAAGATAAATGCAATGCAATCTATCCACTTGGGAAATAATTTAAGATTAAAAAAAAAACAAAAATCAACCAATGAAAGAAGCACCACCACCAAAGAAAAACACATACAAGAGAAGGGCTTAGTGGTGAGAAGGGCTGGAGCTGAGAAGTAGCCAGAGGAGGGGGGTGGGGGGGAGCCGTCTGGGAGGGGTGTGGGAAGGAGAAGGGAAGAGGGAGGCGGGAAAGGAGGTAGGAGGGAGGGGAAGGAGGAGGAGGAGGGAAAAGAGGAGGAGGGAAAGGAGGAGGCAGGCAGGAGGGAGGGGAAGGAGGAGGAGGAGGCAAAGGAGGAGGAGGCAGAGGGAAAGGGAGAAGGGGAGGAGGAGGAAGGAGAGGAAGAAAATTGGGGGGAGATGAACAGTAAAAAGGCAATTATTTGGAAAAATAAAATATATGAGCTTGAGAAGAAGAAATCAAGATTATTTTACAATGCACATTTACCATTATTTTTACACTTGTGGGAAATGTATCATTAAAACATTTTATGCGAATATAATATCGATATGCAAAAATGGAACAAGCCCAATTATATTCCATTTCTTTCGCTATAGACTAATTTACTTGGCTGTCAAGGTACATGTAAACATTTTTGGAAGGCTACTCCAAAATCAAATATTAAAATACGAGTTCAAAAAACCCGATGGGATGAATCATTAAAACTGTCGTGAATTATACACCCTTGAGCATTTTCTAGTACGAAAAGAAAAGCATAAAATCTAGAAATAAGCAACAAATAGAATGCAAATTGAAATGAAACTTTAATGAGTCTACATGAATGGCCTTTCTGTCAAGGTAATTAATCTGCATTATCACTGGTCGCCAAATTCCACTGCAAGAAGGAACATTCTTGCCTTACGAATTTACAGTCATTCACTAGACCTTACCATCAAAATGTGAGTAAAAAAATGAATAGAAACCAATAGGGGAGACAATTCTTTGTAGCAGGAACTTAAGCCCCAGCTTAATCTGAGTAGAATGAGGTCATTGTTTAGCGGGTGCTGCAGGAAGGAGGGGCGCACCAAACCCGCCACTGCAGTTCCCTCCAGTAGGAGCACCTTGTCTTTATGTAAATTCACCTCAGTTTTCATCTCGTATAAGGAAAAACACCATTCATGAAGTAAAATGCCAGAACCCAATAAAACTCAGATTAATTCTAAGAGCCAAAATTTAAGCACTGATCAATCAATCAGTGGGGAAAAGAAAACTATAAATCCATCAATGCTGGCAGCTTCACTGAGAATAATACCGGATTACAGGGCAAAATACCACCCAATTCTGTCCATTGATACTTACATGCATTCTGAAAAGTACTGCTTGAGCCAAGCCGTAAAAATTACGTCACGACACATTTGTAATACGAAATAAATTCTACTCCTACAGCACTACATTTACTCTAGCTTCCTATTTGGGCATTAATATTTACATCGGTCGCACAGGATCCTCAGTCAAACACATTATGTCCTTAACAAAAATCACTTGGCACGTTAACAGGCGGTCGGAAAATGTGAGCCCTCCCCCCACCCGCATTTGTACTGAGGTCTCGGCCGCAGCAAGACACTTAGTTCCCCTCCCTGCCCACCCTCCACCCACCCGCAAAAAAGGAAAAGCGTGTTTAACGCGAACAAGAAGGAAAACGCAAACCCCGAAGGCTGTCCCCGCCCGCGCTCGCGGCCGCAGCCGCTCTACTCCTTCTTGTTTTCCCGCCACTGAGGCAAGCCCTCCTTCCACACTATGAAAACAAAAATCGCCAGCACCACATGGAGCCCGACCACGGCGACGATAGTCGCGTAAAAGGCGCTGTCTTCGGGGGACATTAACATCAGGCTCTGGAAAAGCAGCAGTTTGCAGGAGAAATACAGCCCCACGGGAACTTTGACCATCAGCCCCGCAAAAAGGAGGAAGATCTTGAAAGTCATGGCCAGAACCCCGTCGGTCTTGGGCTCTGCGGCATTAGCAGCAGCAGCCCGCTGCGCGGGAGGCGGAGGCCTGTGAGAGCGCGGCATCGCCTAGCTCCGTCCGTCCGTCCGTCCGTCCGTCGATGCCGCGAAGCCCAGCCGGAGCTGTCCAAGCCTGAGCTCGCGCCTGCAGCGAATGCGGCGAATGCGGCAATCGGGACGCGCTGCGGCGGCCGCCAAGCCCCGCCCAGGGGACGCGTCTAGCTTCCGGCCGCCCACTTCCCCGATGCGGCTGGCAGCCAGGGCGCATGCGCGTCCTGTCCAGTGCAGCCCACGTCCCAAGGGGGCTCGGACCTCCTGGCCCGAGGCGGAGGAGTGCGGGGCACCGAGGCCTGGGAAGGGAAGAGGGGGGAGAACCCGGGTCGGGGTCGGCTGCCGCGAGGGGTAGCTCGCGCCTCCGTGCACGCGGCCGGAGGGGCGCGCAGGCCACGGCCGCCCGCTGCTGCCGGCCGGCCCCCTGCCTCGGGGAGAAGGAGCTACCGCACCCCTGGCTGCTCGGGGCTAACGGGTGGCCGACCCCGCGGTGGACGCAGCGGCCCCTGCAACTCCCGGCTCCCCGGCTCCCCGCAGTCACTGGAGTCAATCACTCCAGTCCGCGACTGTCCTGCGGCCCGGGAGCGGGATGGCGGGAAAGGACACGCAAAGGTCAGGGAGGGCAGGGCAGGCCGCGGCGGGGCAGGCACAGGGTCCCTGCGGGGCGGGCCGCGCTGTGCCGCGCCCCCCGCTGGACAGCTCCCGCCGGGCGCACAGCCAGCCGGCCACCCCTCTCCCCCCGTCGGAACGGCCGGCTTTCTCCTCTTGCCGCACCTGCCTAACGCTGCCCGCTCCGCCCGTGCCGCAGTGCGGAGGGGAAGGCGCTGGGGCCAAAGTGAAGCAAGGTGCCAAGACAGTCCTTAGAGGACTTAGCACCGCAGGGTCCCCGATCAATGAGAATTACTACCAAAGTGCCATACACAGAACACGAAACACAAAGAGAACCTGCACCAGCACGTGCACAATTCCCCCTTCAGCTGCCTGACCCAATGGTTCTAGTCTTGGTAACATTTAACAAGTGAACAGCAAAAGAAAAAATGGTGGCAGGAGTGTGCAATCTCAACACTGGGGAAGCTTGGCGGATAATCCGACCTGTAAAACGGGCAAAGGTCCAGACACAGATGTAAATCTACCAATGTTACACCTGTCAATCCTCACTACTCCGATGGCTGAGACCTGAAGATTATGGTTTTAATCCAGTCTGGCCAAGAAAGTAAGGCTCTTAGCTCTGAAAAGCCAGACATAGCTTTGCCCTGGTGGCTCATGCCTCATGGTGGTTTGGAGATTCCTCAGGAAACTAAACACAGAACTTCCTTATGATCCAGCCGTGCCACTCTTGGGTGTCTACCAGAATGTTTCAAGTCAGGACATGGTAAAGACACTTGCACGTCCATGTTCACTGCTGCACTATTCACAATGGCCACTTAATGGAAACAGCCCAGATGCTCTATAATAGATGAGTGGATCAAGAAAAAATATAGAGCTTATACACAATGGAGTTTTACTCATCAATCAGAAAGAAGATTATGTCATTTGCAGGGGAATGGATGGACCTAGAACAAATCATATTAAGAGGAGTAAACCAAATTCAGAGAGACAAACAGCATGTTTTCTCTCATAAGTGGAGGCTAGGTCTAAAATTCAAGATGATAATTTATACAGGGCTTTATGTATTTACACAAAAATAAACTGAGGAAAGGAGGATATATGAAGAGGAAGAATCTAAAGGCATAATTCCTCTGAACATCTAAAGCACAGTTTATCAAAATGAATTCCAAGAAATGGAAACAGAGTATTTTCTTGTTGTTTTGGTTTGGTGTGTTTTTTTTTGGAGGGGGGGGGAATGAGTGGAGGGGAGCACAGAAAAGGAGGAAAGAAGGTGAATAAATGCAGGCATTATATTCAATATCTACTATGTTTACAAATGAACTATGCACCCGGCAGTGGTGGCTCATGCCTGTAATCTTAGCTACTCAAGAGGATGAGATCTGAGGATTGCAGCTCAAAGCCAGCCTGGACAGGAAAGTCTGTGAGACCCCAGAAATGGCATTATGGCTCAAGTGGAAGAGATCTAGCCTTGAGCTGAAGAGATCAGGGGCAGCACCTAGGCCCAGAGTTCAAGCTCTATTACCAACAACAGCAACAACAAAAAGAACTATGTGCCAGGTGCCAGTGGCTCACACCTGTAATCCTAGCTACTCATGAGGCTGAGATCTTAGGATCACGGCTCAAAGCCAGTCTGGGCAGAAAAGTCCATGAGACTCTTATCTCCAACTAACCACCAGAAAACTGGAAGTGGCACTGTGGCTCAAGTGATAGAATGCCTGCCTTGAGCTGAAGAGCTGAGGGACAGCACCCCGGCCTAGAGTTCAAGCCCCACAGTGACCCCAAACAAAACAAAAAAATTATGTGACCAGCACAGTATATCACAAAAATGGATCCTTGAGCACAGAAGCTCAAGGATAGTGTCCAGGCAGAGTTCAAGCCCCAGGACCAACACAATTAGAAAAGAAAAAAGAAACAAAGGAGGGGGGAAAAAAGCAAGGCACTGGTGGCTCACACCTATAATCCTAGCTACTCAGGAGGCTGAGATCTGAAGATCACAGTAGGAAGCCAGCCCAGGCAGGAAAGTTTGGAATACTTTTATCTCTAATTAACTAACAAAAAGCCAGAAGTGGAGCTGTGGCTCAAGTGGTAAAGCACTAGCCTGGAGCACAAAAGTTCAAGGACAGTATCCAAGCCCTGAGTTCAAGCCTTAGGATCAGCATAATTTTTTTAAAAAAAGAAAAAGAAAAAAAGCCAGGCACTGGTGGCTCACACCTATAATTAAGACTGAGATCTAAGGATTGATGTTCAAAGCTAGTCCAGGCAAGTAAGTCCCGGTGAGACTATTATCTCCAATTGACCACTCAAAAACCATAAATGATACTGTGACTCAAAGTGGTGGAGAGCTAGCCTTGAGCATAACAGCTCAGAGATAGTGCCCAGGACCCAAGTTCAAGTCCCAAGACTAACAAAAAAACAAAGAGCTATGTTACTTGTGGGTAGGGATGCGAAGGTGAAAATGCAGAAAGGGTGAAGGAAGGTCTGAAAATGCCCAAGAAGCATTGTGCTCATAATCTGACATATGAAATTGTAATAATTTTGAACCATTCCTGAAAAATAATAATAAGCCAGGCACCAGTGACTCATGCCTGTAAACCTAGCTGCTCAGGAATCCGAGATCTGAGGATCACCACTGAAAGCCAACCCTGGCGGCAAAGTCTGTGAGACTCTCATCTCCAATTACTCATCAAAAAGCAAATAGTTGAGCTGTGGCTCCAGTGGCAGAGTGAGCCTTGAGCACAAAAGCTCAGGAGGGATACATACACACACATACACATACACGTACACATATTCTCTCTCTCTCTCTCTCTCTCTCTCTCGGGGGTTTTGTTTTTTTGTTTTTGGTCCTCTTTAATTATACACCTAACACAAGTGCCTTGCAAACTTGCCTTAGCACAGCCCCATACTGAAACTACAGCATGCATTCATGCTCACAGCTCTACGGGCAACTGCTCAAACTGTGACAACTGAGAAACATGGGGAAGTTAAGTGGGTTAGTTGCCCGGACACCAACTCCAACTCACCTGGGGTCACAATCAATAAGAGCCCAGCCCCCATGGAACTTCTCATCATCAGGCAGTAGTAACTTCATATAACTTTGTAAGAGCTGACTAATTAGCTCCTGGTGGCTCCTCTGATTCTCCTTATCCAAAGCTTCATGCTCCTTCTCCTTAGTAAATATGGAATAAAGGTCTTCTGTTACTGGAATGCCTTGCATCAAATCTAGGGCAGAAGAGTTGATCATCTTAGTTTACTAAAGTATTTAAAAAAACAAAAGAGAATATAAGAACTACAAAATTCATAGAAGAAAATATTAACATGAACTTTGTGATCCTAGACATAATTTTTTAGAGATGGTACCAAAAGCATAAGCAACAAAATAAGGAATAGATGAACTGGACATTATCAAAATTAAAAACTTCAATGCTCCAAAGTATAATGTCAGGAAAAGGATAACCCATAGTAAGTGAAAATATCAACAATTATCTGGCTAGGAACATGAATAACCATAATAAAAATACAAGCCAATTTAAAAAGTAAAATATCTGAATAGATAAGCTGACCTCCTCCTGATGGACATGCAGCAATGGCTTTAATAAGTCATTGAATCTCATTCCCTGTGAAGGTACTAGAACGATGTAGCAGTAGCTACATTGGTAACATCTACCAACCCCTGCCCTGAAAAGGAAAGCAGTAGTTATTTCTCCTTCTCAGCCTTGAAAAGACCCAGTGTATGGACCTGAATGAAGCTGACAGGATAGACAGCAGAACTGAGAGCGGGACCTCGATCCTCAGGGACATAACTGAGTAGCTAGGCCAACTGGCGGAGTCAAGGTATCTTATTTTTCCTTGAATAACCTGTTAAGATTCAACTCCCTAACC